ATGCCTCTAGCTTTGATGGCATTGTGTTCCAGAGAAATGGTTGGTTGTGGCAAGTAGCTTGTGGCACATTAGCAACTGCAGCTGCAAGGTAATGCTTAAATGCAAACCACGTTGCAAATGGATTCTGTGATGACTGTTGGGTGAATACAAACATGTCAAGATATGAACGACCGCTTTTGCAAACATGATTGACAATTGCAGCATCCGACAATCAAACTCACCTTGAGGGACGCCAAAGCCAAAATTGACACTTTCTTTGCCAAAGAATGGTTTGAACAAACACACACAGAGTGCATATGGTGAGAGATAGTGCCTTTCTCTTGCAATTTTTGAACCAGGGACTCCTCAAACTTCCTGATTGTCAAAATGAAATTATAATATTTTGCCTTTGCTCCCTCAATAACTCTTTTATGCTGCTCAAACAATTCATTAGCGGCAGATCCATTGACAATTGAGGTTTATTGTTACCTTCTGTCAGGTTCTGCTGGTGTTTGGTTATCACCGTCATCATCATGATTCATTGCAACATCCAATAGTCAAATAAACGAATATCATTACAATCGCGACCTGTTCTGTTTTTGTCAGAGATAGCTTGATAAGTCTGTAGAAGTCAAGCAATGATGATGGAGGACTCTTGGGTAAAGTAGTAGTCAAGCCTTGTAGATCACAAGCATAGTCATGGTTGACATCCAACAATAAAACTTACCTTGAGCGACTGCATTTCTCTTCTGTTTCATGGATTCTTGTCAAGGATGGCTTGGTGACTCTGTACTAGTAATCAAGCAACAAAGGTGTATCGGGTTAATGAATGCAAAGAGTGTCAAGACATGAGCGACTGGTTTTGTCAACATGATTCACATTCGCAGCATCCAACCATCAAACTCGCCTTGAGGCACGCCATTTCTCTTCTGCATGACCAATTCTTCTTGCAAAGGTCTTGATAGAAATTTAGTAGACATGCAATGGTGGCGGCGTATTGTTGGATGAATGCAAAGAAAGTCAAGATATGAGCAACACAATGTCCAAATAAATTACATGCTTTTGCCTTCCGTCCTTTGTTCCTCCAATAATTCTTTCATGCAGCTCAAACAATTCATTTATGGCCGATCCATTGGCAATTGAGCTTGATTGTGAGCTTCTGTCGTGTTCTGGTTGTGTTGGGTTTAGACAGCATTGGAATTACAATGACAGTTGTTTGGTTGCAACAAGGATTGAGTAAATGGCGGTTTCACCGGGAGACGCCCCGCGTCACCCACCCCGCAACCCGGATGCTTGACACTCACCCCAATCTACCTCCAAAAATCCCCCACTTCAAAACCGACTGGCGTTCTTGGCCAGTGCCGACCAGCTTTGGCCAGCCTCCCTCGTTTTAGTTTAGCGCCCTTTCTACGTATCCTCACTTTTCTGCAGCCTCCCTCTGCAATGACTATGGAGCGCCTACACTACATGATCTTCCCAACAAATGCTGCAACTGGGAAGTACAGTTGATCATTCTGATGCGTCAAAAACTAAAGAACGCATTGTACCAGAATCTATCAACCTTGTAAACAAAATTAATAGTCATGTCATTGTTAGATATCATATGCGGTATAATATTTGACTGAGGTTTTTGAGATTCCAGATTCCTTGGTGAAAGTGAATTGACGAGATGACCAACCAATAACGTAGTGAAAAGAATTGTTCATTCTTTTCATTAAACCATCTACATTGATTGTTGTTGCAACTTTGATTGAGTGCAGAATAGTTGATACTATAGTTATGGAACTGAAGTAGATAGTCATCAGTGCATGCAGACCTGATTGGTCACATGGACAATGCAGAGTTAATGATTCGACTTGCATCTGAATGATTATTTTGAAGTCGTCCTATTTTCTATTTCTAACATGTCATTGTCCATTTTCTTCCATTCCAAGGATAAGGTATGGTGATCCTCCTTTTGTCAGTCATAGTTGCTGTACGAACCCCATCCATTCTGACTTCTTACAATTGAAACAACTCAACAGGACAAGATCCCACACAGTTTCCGCAACATGTACCCATTGCCTAAGCAAACGCCAGCTAATCCATCAAATGATGCTCAAACAGCAGTGTTGATGTTCTGTTGTCCAAAGACAAAGGCGCAGTATTCATATGCTCTTGTTTGAGCACCAGTCATTCAGTCAATACATTGCTGTGCAAAATGGGGACAGAGCCAAGAACTGTGCCACAAGTGTTCAATTCCTCCATCTAGCATCTCCACCAAGATCCAAAACCATACAACCACATTTGTGTTTCAGCCTTGAAATTGGCGCAACAGAACAAAGCCTATGTGGACAGTCTCATAGTTCAAAGTATCAAGTGTTCATTGTCAACGTTGACATGCTACCAGCAGACCAACACAAGCACCATGATCAATTCTCCATCAATCGACTATGGAAATTATCATGAAGAGCAAAGCAGCATTTCACAAATAATTATTTATTATAGTCTATTCTATTTTCCATAATATTATTGACATTTTTTTCTGAAGCATTATAAAAATCCATCAAATTCAATGCGATGACTCATCAATTGATCACTCACTGTGATCCATTTGATGTTTTGATGGATTTAGTTTAAATATTGTGTGTAGATTGTCGTTGTTGTTTCTCAAAAGGTTGTTGTTTGTTTGAAAATATTCAAATGGCCACGGCCAACGGTCAACATCTGTAATCAACTCAAAGTCCTTGGTCTTGTTTGGTGATTTGTTGCAATCTCAAGGTAGCTGCAATTATCTTCAAAGGCAGTGCATACAGCCTTTGGGGTATCCATAGATAAGTTGAAACCCAACAAACATAATTCATTTACCAGATTCATAACAGCAATGACTTCACATAGAGACGTAGATAATGCAATATATTCAGCTTCAGTTGTAGATAATGCAACCAATGTTTGAAGCTTTGATGCCCAAATAATTGGACATCAATTGTAGGTAATGATGTATCCTGTTCAAGATCTTGCAGACAAAGGATCAGTTGATGTGCGGTCTTGCCAAGAGCCGGCCCAATCCACATCCACATAACACTCCAACCCTTTTGTAGGATCTGGCTTGAGTGCAAGTACCTGCAGATTCTTTTGACTGCAAAATCAAGCACACTGTTGTATTGCAATGGTGAGATCTGTGTTGGGATATGACAAAATATGAGTTTTTACGTTCCGAAAAGAAACTATTGAAGTACGAAGTTTTCAACATGTACGATCGGACTTTGATCGTGATGTCGGGATTCGACGCAAGTATGCCGGATGCAAGTCTGTCGGACAAACTACATCCACACAAAAAGGGAATGACCCTATACAAGTGAGATATTGATGTTGTGTACAAGGCAGTAGGGAATAATACAAAATGTCCCAAAGTACTGCATTCAACACAGAATTGTCGTAGAGGTCGAATCAAGTTCTGTAAACAAGGGATTTTCCAAGGGAAAATTGTTGAACATACTTTTGTGATTGAATCATCAATCCAAGCCAAAAATTAATCAAATAGGAACAATTTCACTCAACGTATACCTAGACACAGGAGAACTATTGTTGTGAAAGTGTTGTACAGTCGATTACGAATTTAGATTGCAGAGAGTTTGTTCTGAGCGCTAAAAGCACTCACGATAGAGCACATTTTGCTTTATTCTAACATTCAATCACAAAAGGCAACAAAACAAATTTACGTCAAGAACAGCACTGCCTTAAGTACAAAGGAGCGAGTAATTTGTTGACAATGGGACGTTCTTCATCCGGTGGTGGAAGAGGACGTGTGACTCCTCAGAAAGTCAAGTGCAACTCGAGTTCAACAGTTGTGAAACATCTATTTTCAACAAAAGATGAAAACGATGGAAAGGCAAGATTGTTGTACAAAGATGCTGAGGAAAGAGTGATTGACTACATCCAAGCCTCTGGAATGAAATGTTCAGAAGACATGGTGAAATCAATTCAAGATGGAAAGTCGATCGACTTCAATGCAATTGCTCCAAGATTGAACGCTCCAACTCAAACTGAAGCTGTTGCAAGAGAAACAGAAATGGCTCAAAACAAGATTCTCTATTCTGCAAAGCTTGACGAGAATATGCGAAGATCAGCCTACTTCAAGACAAACAAGAGAACCGTCAAATCAAACATCATGCTGAAGTTTGTGACGAAGGCAATGGATATCAAGCTTCGAGGTGAAGCCGATTTCACGACTACTCTTGAAGATCCAATCAAACTCTTGAAACGTATTGAACGATTCATGAAGAAGAGTGCTCATGCTGAGATTGATTTCTTGGATTTCTGGGAAGCAAATCAAAAGTTCTTTGCTATGAAGCAAGGAACAACGGAAAACTTGATGCATTTCAAGGAACGATTCTTGAGACAGGCTGAAGTCCTGCAAGATCTATATGGCGTGGCCTGTTTCCGAGATTTTGCAGTCAAGAAGAAAGCGTATGCTGCTATTGCTAGCACCAATACTGCTGCTCAAAACAAGTTCAAGGATGATATCTTTGAAGCCGTTCTTGCAACAGGATTTCTATGCAACAGCGATGGAATGAGAACAGCTCCTCTGATGCTGGATCTTCAGACAAACTATTGCAGAGAAGTGGATTATAATCCAAAGACGGTCAGCAAAGCACAAGATATGTTGAGAATTCACATGGCAGTGAGTAAAAGTCCGGGAGTGAACCTCTACCAAGGAAAAGACCAACCTAATAAAGGTAAAGGCAAAGGAAAAGGAAAGGGGAAACCGAAGGATGGAAAGAAGGCAGCATGTTATGAATGTGGCAACAAAGACCAAATGTCTCCAAAATGCCCAGACAGACTGCTACCAAAGACCTAATGGAAGAATCAAGATCAATATGTTGACTATGGGAAGAAGCTCAATCTTAATCAGATTGGAGCAACTGTCCCAGCCACTGTTCCGGCTATAGTTCCTGGAGCTTCAGCATCCACAAGTGGAGCATCAAGTGTTGCGGGAAGCGTCAACACACCTTTGCGACTTGCTGGTACTACAGGTAATCAAATGATGCAAGTTCCTTCTGGAATGCAGCTCATGCAGATTCCAACTCAAGGTGGCGGCACTGTTACTGTCCCTCATTCTATGAATGCTAACGGTGAGACTGCGTTCAGTGGAATGCAACTCAGCCGACAAGGTTTCAGTGGTGCTCAAGTGCGCCAAGGATTTGATGCAGCTCAAGCTCGAAGTCCGCAAGCTGTGAAAACTGGATATATCTTTCAGGATGCTATCAAGGGAAAGGATGAGAATGGCAATGATGTCTATCTTATTGCATGTGCTGCTGGTACGACAAATGTCAAACTTCAAGCCAACTGGCACTATGCTTGTGAAGATGAAGATTTCCTGATCTTGCTACTGAAGCAGATCGAGGTCTGCAGATTATTCAAAGCCACAGAAAAGAATGAGATCCATTTGGGTTGTACGATCATGTCATCATGGACAGTGGCTGTACAAACACCACCATTTGTAATGGTGAGCTTATGCATGGACTCCGTCATGCTGAGAAAGAACTTGACATGCACACTAACGAGGGCAGCAGAGTTCTTGACAAAGAAGGTTTTCTAGGAAGATTTCCACCTCCAGTTTATCACGATGAAGATGGAATTGCCAATATACTTGCTATGCGCAAGATGATTGCTGCGGGATACCGCAATACTATGGATACTGATGCTGACAATGCTTTTATTGTGCATTGTGATGGAAACTGAAAGATGCAATTTGTGAATCGTAAGGGTGTGTATGTGTTGGAGCAACTTGGAGCAAATGTTGAACCAGGTGCCAAAGAGACAACTGCAATGTACCGTCGCCAGTTAAGCAACTTAAATAATCAACCCCATTTCGAACTATCTTCAAACAGATAGAATGGAGATGCTGGACTCGAGATGACCTCCAAGATGGCAACCGTTCAAAAGAACAAGGAAGGATTCACTCCAAGACAAGTCAAGGCTGCGATGGAAGCGAGAAGTGCCATGCAACATACTCAATGCTCCAAGCACCAAAAGTCTGAAGTATGCAATCCGATCTGGTCTCATCAAGAACTGTCCTATCACTGAAGAAACAATCAATCATGCTGAAGCAATCTTTGGACCTGATGCCTCTACATTTTAAGGCAAGTCAACAAGACCAACTCCAAAGAAGACGTACAACAACTTCTTCAGTCCACCAGAGGAATTATATCAGCACAATCAATCTATTACCGTCTGTATTGATCACATGGAGATCAAATATGCTAAGTTTCTCACCTGCATTGATACCACTGTGCGTTATTGCTCATGTATTCCTGTGCAAAACCTGAAGACTGACCCTGTATTTGAAGCATTGGATAAGATATTCCGCCGCTACAACAAGGCAGGCTTTCAAGTCAAGATCATCAAGTGTGATCGGGCGATCATTCCTCTCACAGATGATATGCTAGACGACATGGGTGTTACTATTGACCCTACTGCAGCTGGAGACCACGAGCCTACCGCTGAGCAAAACAATAGGACGCTGAAAGAAAGGGTCAGAGTAGCTCTTGCACAATTACCCTACAAAGTGGTCACAAAAGTGATCACTGAATGTCTTGGACGTCGAGCAGCCGAGCTATTGAATTTCTTTCCCCAGAAAGACAGTATCTCATCACATTTCAGTCCTCAGCAACTCATTGATAATGTCAATATCAACTACAGGAGTGACATGGTTGCTGAACTTGGACAATATGTTCATGCAATTGGGACAGATTCCAACAATTTGATGGAACCCCGAAGTATCAAAGCGATTTACATTGAACATACAAAGGGACAATGTACTGGGCACCAAGTGCTCAGCCTCAATACTAAGGAGATGATTTCCCGACTTAAGGTCGTTGCACTACCCGTTACCTAGCAAGTAATCCAGCATGTTGAAGCTTGGGCTGATGCCAAAGGTGTTACTTCCATGAAGTTCTTCGATAAGAAGAGAGATTTGGAGACATTTCAAGATGGCGATCAAATTGCAGGAGTGGATGACACTGAACAAGGTTACTTAGAAGAAGCCTTTGATCAGGACTATGAACCATCAAGAAAATATCGATAGAGGAGCCAATGATATTGGGAGTCTAGTTACTGATCTGGAGGATCTACAAGAGTTAAAATCTGGTATTCGTACCAAAGAAGGAAGTTGCAGTACTAAAGACAGTAGAGCTATCCTTGAAGCAAAGCACAGTCTATGTTTCCAACAGATTGGAAATGAGATGAAAGCTGATTATGAAGAGCACGATGCTATTCTGATTGCTTGTTGCATGATGCAGATCAAGGCCAAAAAAAAAAAAAGGGTTGTCGTGGCTCACATGAGTCCACTAATCCAACTAGTCGAATCATATCAGTCGAATGAACATTGATTACTCTGATATGAGAACTTCTACAAACGCCCCCTTACTCAGCATGCCCACAGCAATCTTGTCAAAAGCAATCTTGCCAAATGTCTAGTACTTCTATTACCTATGCTACGAGCCGACAGTGATGTGGCAATGAGGTGGCGACAGTCTGACGAATACATCTTATCAAGACAGCAGTAGAAGTTGTGTGTCTCCAGTACACACCTTCTCTTCTGATGTCAGTATGGCTATCGCGTTCTGCCCAGGGAAGTAGTTTCCATTAAGCTCATAATATCTCTTTAGCAATCTTTCAATCGCTTCTGTGCCTAAGTTAGTCCTCAGCCTTTTGTGGGACACGGCAACAGTATTACATCAATCAAGGACTTAAGAAGTTTGGTGATGATGGAAAGGATGCTGTGGATAAGGAATTGAGACAAATGCTCCTGAGAGATTGTTTCACTCCCAAATTTGTTAAAGACATGACCACGTCTGTCCAAAAGAAGGCCCAATCAGCGATGATGTTACTCGCGGAGAAGCAATTTGAAAAGACAATTAAGGGTCACCTAGTATTCCGAGGCAATGGAACTATCGCGAGAGGACACTGCAAGTCCAACTGCTTCACAAGAGGCAATCACCACTACTTGTGTTATTGATGCACACGAAGGTAGAGATGTAATGACGCTGGACGTGCATAACGCTTTCATTCAAACTTATATGCCTGATGCTAAGGAAGGAGAAGATCTCGTCTACATGAAAATCACTGGCATGATGGTCCAGATATTGATTGACATGGCCCCAGAGTATTGCAAATACGTTGTATTAGAGAACAGAAAGCGAGTAATCTATGTGCGGGTACTACATGCTATATATGGGATGTTACAATTGAGCATCCTATTCTATATTCAATTTTGAAGTGATTTGGAGGCAAAGGGATTTGTTTTCAATCCGTATGACCCGTGTGTTGCTAACAAAGTTGTTAATGAAGAACAGCAAACTATCAGATTTCATGTTGACAATCTTATGGCAAGTCACATGGATCCAAAAGTAAATGACTAATTTGCTGAGTGGTTGAACATGAGATATGGTTCGATCCAGCCATGTAAAATTGTCAGAGGAAAGATTCACAGATATCTTGGAATGACTTTGGATTTCTCGGTGAAAGGAAAACTCAAAATCCGCATGGACGACTATGTCAAGAACATGTTGGAAGATTTTCCTGTCAAATTCAACAAGGAGTCAAAGCAGGAAACGCCAGCTGGTAACAATTTACTGGAGGCTGGGAAAGGAAAGTTACTCAATGCTGAGTACCATCAAATCTTTCATACTACTGTTGCAAGGGGACTTTATGTCCCTAAGAGAGCTTGTCTGGATATCCATCCAACGATTACTATTCTTGCCTTGAGAGTTTGAGAACCTACAGAGTCTGATTGGAAGAAGTGTGTTTGCATGATGCGATATTTGTTTTGTACATTGTTGTATCACCTGACACTTTCCGCAGAATCACTACGAGTCATGAAATGGATGATCGACGCATCATTTGCGGTGCATCCAGATTTCAAGAGCCATACTGGCGGCACTCTGTCCTTTGGAGGAGGTGCAGCTCAAGTGATGTCGAAGAAGCAAAAGCTAAACAGCAGAAGCAGTACGGAAGCAGAACTGATTGCTGTTGACAATGTTGTCACAATGATACTATGGACAAAGTTGTTCATGGAGTAGCAAGGATATCCAATCAAGAAGAATATCTTGTATCAGGATAATAAAAGCACAATTCTACTGGAAGAGAATGGTCCCAAGAGCGCGGGCAAAAGAAGCTGAGCTATCAATATTCGTTATTTCTTTATCACAGATCAAGTTAAGAAAGGAAATGTTAAGATTGAATACTGTCCGACTGACAATATGATTGCGGATTTCATGACTAAGCCGTTGCAAGGTGAGAAGTTTTGCAAGTTCAGGGATCTGATTCTTGGTCCACAGGACTAGGTCAGACAAGCATGTATATGTTCAAATGAAAATACAAAACAAAAATAAACAGTGAATGAGAGCATGTCCCATTGCTGCCAATGATGATTGTCACAATAGCAGGAGTGTGTTGGGATATGAAGAAATATGAGTTTTCATGTTCGGAAAAGAAACTATTCAAGTATGAAGTTTTTGACACGTACGATCGGACTTTGACCGTGTTGTTGGGTATGCCGGATGCAAGTCTGTCGGACAATCTACATCCACACAAAAAGGGAATGACCCTATACAAGTGAGATACTGATGTTGTGTACAATGCAGTAGGGAATAATACAAGATGTCCCAAAGTACTGCTTCCAACACAGAATTGTTGTAGAGGTCGAATCAAGTTCTGTAAACAAGGGATTTTCCAATGGAAAATCGTTGAACTTACTTTTGTGATTGAATCATCAATCCAAGCCAAATATTAATCAAATAGTAACAATTTCACTCAAAGTATACCTAGACACAGGAGAACTATTGTTGTGAAAGTGTTGTACAATCAATTACAAATTTAGATTGCAGAGAGTTTGTTCTGAGTGCTAAAGGCACTCACAATAGAGCACATTTTGCTTCATTCTAACAGTATTCATGTCAAATTGAAATGGTGAATCCATTTGTCAAAGAGTACATTCTTTCTGGTTATTCTTCTGGAAGTGGCAAACAAAGGAAGCCATGTACATTAGTCACCAGCGCATGTTGATTTCAGACACAATTCAAACTCTTTTCACAACTGTAGGAAAACAACCGAGGTTCTCACAATTGGATTGGTCCCTTCTGCAATGATATCTTGCTTATATTTGATGAAGTCGCGCGCCATTGCCACAGCACTCGGTTTTGTGTCATCTCAATTTGGAAACTTCTCTATTATCCATTGCTTCCAGAGCGCTCTTTCCAATTCCCATCCAATGAGAGAGGGGAAGTATTTTTATCTCTGGTAGCGCTCTTTGGGGTCCGATATGATACTTTTAAACTCCAAAGCCACTTGGAAACATTGAAGCCAGCTCCCATAGAATCCCTTAAACAAGCATTCCAGCATGTGTAGGCTGAAATGGAAATCTGCAGGGACAAACGTGACTTGACCATGCAGCTGTTGCAGAATTTCCCTAATCTTTTCCTTGGATTATGTTCTCTGTCCATTCTCGTCTCGACATCTCATCAACTTGTTTGAAGAAACTGATTAGCATGTCAGCCTTCAGCACATCCCCAGTAACAATGAGATGCCTATCTTCAAAATTTGACGGATTGACCCATGCGTCGGAGGGGGAAATGAGGGCATCGTCTGGTGCAGTCATTGTCAGGCCCACATGACACAGTTGGCCTCCTCCGTTTGGTGAGGGGAATTTGGCTGTGTTGCGTCGATTTGCAATATCCAATGTGTTGACCTCTTTGTATGTTGATGGATTTCCCACTTGTGGGAGGTGGTCAAAGCGGGCGAGGCATTCCTTGATGGTTAGTGCAGGTGTAGAATCAGCCATGGTAGCTGTGGTGTGTGTTCTGGAGCTACTAGCGTGTATTGATTGGATAGATCAGGCAATAATGATTGCTCTGAGGGTATGATGTCGTTGCATGATGATTTGTTATTTGAGTTGTTAAGTAAATGATATCCAATCAATTAAATTACTGTCGTTGCGTGATGGTTTGTTGTTAGAGCAATCTCATCAATCGAAGTAATGGCTGCGTTTCATGGATTTCATCAGATCCTTCTGATCCTTCTGTTTCAGCTCCGAAACTTGATCAGTGTTCCAAAAATAAGCTCTTCGGAGATCAATCCACTTGGCCCTCCCATTGACACATACAATGTTCTCCACTCGAGCATCCCCATGCACCACATTGTTTTCGTGGAGCTCTTGAAGACAATCAATAATAGCTTTCTTTGAAAGACTAGAATAGTGATTTCCAACTTCCGAAAATAGAAGAGCAGCACCTAACTTACCAAATTTCCTGAAAGAATCCTCTTCAGCGCCGACGATTAAGTGAGGGCATTTCCGTTTAGCTTCATTAGTAATCGACAATTGCTTTTGAAGTTCTGCCACGTTGTCATCAACATCTGGAACTATCTTCAATGCAAAGGCCACTCCATTCTGATCACAGACTTTAAAAACTAGACCAAACGCTCCACTGCCCAAGTATCCGTTCTCTTCGGGCACTAGGCCTAACTCAAAGCAAGCCTTGTCAAGGACCTTAATCAGGGGATCTTCCAGCATGAACTTTTCCAACCGTGATTTCGACCCGCCGTCGACCCATCGACACTTCCTAACGGAGGAAGCTCTTCCTCTAAGAGTCTCAACTAGCCAGAAAGATTCTCGATCGAAAAGAACCAGGCGTACCATTATGGGACCGCTCTCTTCAAAAGAGAGGTGAGCTGCGTAGTTGATGGTCTGTCCAAACGCTGAATTACTAATGTCTTTTTTTGCCTCCAAGACAACGGAGAGGAAGCGACGAAGGTGCCAGTGTGACAATTGCCCAAAAATGTCCGTTGATCGCCGCATCTGATGCAGCTTGCTATCCCCCGTTGCAGCAAATGGATCACGTTTTTGGTAGAGGGACTTGTGGCAGATAAACATGTCCGGTTTTTGGCTGTAGGTACTTTTCTCGTCATTAGATGTCTTCAGCCACTTGTACTCTTCAGAATTCACAAGAACTCTATTAGAAGACCCATTGCATTGGAAAACAGCTGATAGGAATGGGGTCAAGAAAGCAACCACTTGATGCTCCGTTTCTAATTGTAACAGGCTACCCGATTGCTCGGTGGTGAGGACTGCGTCACCTTTTCCGTTCTCATCAGGATCGTGCACATTTTCAGTTTTTTCCAGACGGCTAAGCTCCTCTGCCCCAAAACTTGCTGCACTTTTTTGAGGGGTAGCTCTGTCAGGTTTGGAAACAGACTCTTTGATTACCGTAATGTCCTTTTGTATGTTCTCTAGGAACGGAGTGTTCACACTTTGGTTTTCCGGAATGGATGGCATTGGAGTGCGTTCAATCAACAACAACTCCTTTTGCAGATACCTGTCTTTCTCTTGCCGAAGCTGGCTTTTCTCTTGAAGATACCTGTCTTCCTTTTGCCGATAGTAAGCTTTGTCAACGTCCGAAATGGTGGGGTTCTTGAGAATTTCGTTGATCTCCTCGATTTCATTTTCCACCCTTGCAATAGCCTCGGCTACTTGCTCGATTGCTTGCTCAACAGAAGCAGACATCCTCAAACTTGAACAATGTTGATCTGCAAAGTGGCCCGTCTTCCTTTCCCCGGGCAGCTTTGCTTACTACCAGGTACTTTGCGGGTGTGCACGAGATGTGGCGGTGTAGTTTCACTCTGTAGGAATCGTGTTAATGTCGCATGGCAGACGCTTTCGGTACTTCGTTTCATGTCAGTTCTTTTTTTAAAAACAAACAAAAATGCACCACGTGTCTCATTTGCACCACGGCGGCCACTACCAGGGGGGGGTACGGTTTCGCGCTACAGGTAGAGGGAAATCTGACATCGACACAAAGTGACATGCCGGCGCGATATGGCTTGCCTTTCGTTCGTATGAGTCGAACCTGTTTGGTTGGATGTCCGTCTGGCCTGCGTACGCTTGATTTGACAGAAAAATGTATGGAGAAATGGTGAAAAGTACTTTACCTGGTACACCTTCATTTAAATTAAAAAACTATGCGGACGTCAGCCGACTTCTGCAAAATATCTTGCAAAACTAATACCGCGATAATAATATCTTGTCAAACGCTACGATACACTATTCCTTGTTTGGGTTAGTAGGAATTTATCAAAATGTTTTCTCAGAAACTAATTAGATACAGTAAGAAAAAACAATGGCACCATATCTGCACCATATCCTCATTAGTATGCCAACAAGGTAAAGTAGGCTCCAACATCTCTGAAAATGCCCAAAACTACATCCTTTGCAGTAGGGATCTGATTGAAATTTCCTCTTTTGATGGCTGGGCCACTTTGCACCAAGTTTGGACTGTCTTCCTTAGATGGGGAGAAGAATTGCCGTACTTTCTTCATTGGCTTAGATGAGGAGAAGAACTGCCGTGCTTTGCTGCTGCTGTCGCCATTGCCTTTGTTGAAACCAGCATTGCTGGTATGGAGATCCACTGGCTCCAATCGGTCTCCGACCTATTCATTTCCCTCACTTTGTCTTCCTGCATGTAGAAACTCTTCGACAGCTCCTTTTCAAAACTTTTTCTGATGGCATAAAGGTGTACCACTTGTCTGAGATTCTTGATCGACGTCTTGATTGTCTGGCATATTGTAATTCAACATCTGCGGAAGACGAAGCTCCGGATTGGAAGGCTGCAAATGCACCTGCGGATAGGGGAAAAGGGCAGAACTGCAAGTAGGGACACCGTCAGCCACTGGAACAACGTTTGACAGTGTTGTACTTCTTTCTACAAAGTCTTTGAAATGCTTCAAGATCTTCTTTTCTGGATTCTTTGCGCATTCTCTCTCCTTCTCCAAAGCTCATGAACATCACCCAACAATAGGTTATCTCGTGCTGCCAAGCAAAGATTAATTGTTGAAAGGACAAAAACTTTTGAAAACTGCTGGCATTTCCTCTTTTGAAACCATTCCATGCGAAATGTTTCACAATTATTTTTTCAAAGAAATCTTTTAGGAAATCTTTGTAGCTCTTTTGATTCAAAATCAAGTCATCCAATTCCTTGCCATGTATCTCAGTCTTCAATTGAATAGCATGATGTTGCAAGTGGATAGATTCTTGGTTGACAACTGTCAGGGACAGAATTGCCCTTGTACAACAGCAAAACTTGTGGTCTTGGTCTTTTGCAAGAAGGTTATCGACTTCTTTTTTCCCTCTTGGGGTTTCAGCAAGTTCACGGAGCTTGTTTATAAGATTTTCTTTTTTTACTGTTGATTTTGGGCGGCATTGGAGCAACGAGCAGATGTTTGGAGCAATAGTTCATGGCATTGTGTTGTTTACGACGATAGAATCTATCAAATTGCATACACTGATAAATATAGATCATTGTCATGCTGTTTGTTGAAGCTAAGGTATCAACTAAAGCCTGAAGAATTTTAAAACAAGTTTGAATTTTCCTGGGTTAGACCAAAGATTTGTGACAAGTTGTTGTGCTGATAAAGTCCCTTTATAGTCGAAGTTGTTGTCGGAGAAACATTGAGATGAAGACGTAGCGCGCCAGCCCTCCAGCTCAATGTTTCTCCAAAACCGTAGTGTGCATATTGGACCATTCCTAACAAAAACGGTGCCGCATTAGCGGCCCTGTGCGGCAGTACCGGCCCTGCATACAATTCCTGTAAGTAAACACATGTAGATGCACTAAGAAGCAAACTTATTGAAGAAAAATCCACTTCCGGGTACCCCTACAGGCTGCATCGAATCTGCATCCATCCTGCATTTTGAAATTGAATGATTTTGATTGGCCAATTCTCAATAGCATTTGGAAGACCTCGACTCACAATTCACATCAAAAATAAGAAGAAAAGACTCCATTGCACTTGATCTTCTGCTATTTTCACTAGTGCATCTGAAACAGTTGCCTGGTGCTTTTGGGTGCCATGGAACTTGTCCTATATTGTCCAGTACTTCCCCCTTAATGCTATAGCAATATTCGCTTAATTGACAGTTTAATTGGGTAAAATGGACAAGGACACCGTGTTTTTTATCACCACCCCATGTGAAGCCTATGTGATAGATGAGAACCCCTTGTCCTTTTTATGACAAGGAAATTGTCTTTTTGAGGAAAAGAACCTTCTCATTTTTGGAAAGTTCCCATTTGATTTTGTCGCAGAACCTTGGGATGCAAAGCCGTCTGACCGTGATTTTGATCACATGCATTTTTGATTTTCCACCCACCGGATTTGTCTTTTAAGGACATCCAACAGACCTTTTGAAGTGGACCCATTTGATTGAGAGCCATCCGATGGCTTCCTCTTCCTCATTGTCCATGTCATCTCATCAAATGGCCAATGCCTTAAAAGGACCAGATCCTTGTCAATTTATGACAACTACAATGACCTACAAAACAGAGTTTCATTGCCTTCTGAAGAACAGTCAATGGTGATTAAAGGGCATACAGATTATGAATGTATTGGAAAGATCCTTTTGATTATATCACAAACACATTTGCTTTATTTGACAATTTAATGACAATCTATTGACGAGGCTAGACCTCTGCAAACATACTTTCCAATGCTTCAGGAAGGCTTCAGCAATAGGTATCTGTCTCTCGTTTGCAGGAGGCACAGTGCCCTTTACATAAATGTCTGCTCCACCGTGCATCTTCCACAGTTCATACTCTTCTAGGTCTGCCCCTGTGCGGGATTGCCTTCTTAACTTACCAATTGAACTCAACTTCTCGTTGTAGCTTTCAATTCCCTGTCGACTCCAACCAGATGACTTCAGCTTCAAGCCATTGTCACTTGATGTGAATTTGG